CAAAAAGCACATTTAATTCAACAGGTGGAAAGTCCAATCACACTTAGTATAGCTCTGTTGTGGTTTAATATCTTTAAAAAAAGACGTGCATCACGAAACCAAACAAGAAGCAGAATTTTGCTTACATCATCCATAAATACAGTCGGTGTGTTTCCTGTTTTACTTTGAAGGTCTGTGTCTCATGCCAGTGTTTTTAGTTTGCTTCCCTTGTCTCGTCCTGCCTAATTACTCCCAGCTGTGCTCTCCTTCTGTGTATCATTGCCCTCGTTATCCCTCAGCGTATTTAAGCCCCGTGTTTCTTTTTGTCAGTGTTGTGTTCTCCCTCATGTTGTGTGTTGCCTTGAAGTTTAGGTTATAATTTCCCCATGTAGTTTAGTTTTCTATAATTTCCTTGAGTCAGTAAATAAAGCTGTGTGAGTTGTGAGTCCTGAATTTCGGGCCCAATCTCCTGCCTGCCACACAGCAATCCTTGACACTTATCCATTACCTGGTGTGGTTTGAACAGCGTCCCTGTTTAAAGTTAGCCAATGTTTGATTTGGGCAACATTACCCAACTGCCCCACTGTGCGGTTACTGAGTGCAGCAGTTACAACTACTTTTAAGGAAGAGAGAAACAACATAGGGCACGCCATCTGGCCTCAAGCTCACTTCTGCTAAATGTCAGTTTTGCTCGAGGCCGCTCACTCTCTGTGTGTGAATTTATGACCACTCCAGAATTTCACGTTAAAGGAATCGGCCCTGATGTAATGCAGTACTTTACATTACTGAGCTCAGTTTTTTTCAATTAGGAAATATTTTTAGTTATAGATTCAACTGCTCTGTGAGAAAGTGCATGGATCAACAACACCTGCTGTGAAGGTTTACTGTTCGTGAGTATGACATCTCTGTTTATCAGTTAATGCTTTATTCATCTCTCAAACTATTTTCTTAACTGCTTATAAAACTTAAGTGGCCTGTGGCCTCCATCATACTCCAGCTTTTTTTTAGAGTGAGATGTTGTGGTTTATGTACTTTACATTTGAATCAATATAATAATTTTTGTGTTACAGCCTTTAGTATGAGAAATTAATGGCTGCTTAGATATTAGCAGCACCCTATTTGGGATTGTCTCCGTGGCATAAAAGAAACAGTGTAAAGAAAAGTGTATTCTCTTCCTTTATAATGCTTTTGTTCACTTATCCATCTACAGCAGTTTGTGTAGTGTTGTATCTGTGAGGGTAATAATTATCAGTGGTAAAATTGCTTAATAACAAAATGAGCAGGCAAAGGCAATCTCCTGTTTCTGTAAGACCTCAGTCAAGTTTTAAGCCTTGCAATGCAGTTATTCCAGTGTGTGAAACACTTTC